TTTATGCAAAGTTTGGTACTTTCAAAAATAAAGGAAAAAGGTCCTATTTATAGTAATACTCAAGGAAGAACCAATTAATTCTAATTGGTGGGGAGGTGATGACCACGTGAGAATCTTGGGCTCCAAGATTAGGATAACTATTAGTTACCTACGTATAATGACACTTGTGAGTCTAAAGTGTGTTTGTAAAAAGATTTAGATAACAAATAGATTATTGAACTTAGCCAGAAAGTAACAAAGAGATAAAGAGATAAAACAAAACATATACTTATTATAATATTACTGTTGGGGTCTTTTTCGTCTGAAGGCTCATTCGGGCTTTGTTGACTCTTGGATCGCCATAGAGTGATGAATGAAGACTTCGTTGCCCCTTTGTCTGAGTTAGCGAGAACTAGGCCCAAAGTATCCCTAGGAAGAAGCAAGTCCCGGGGGAGTACTTTGTTCTTCTTCCAACGACTGTGTGTTTTGTGTTGATGTTTCCGGCAACTCAAAGAAGAGTTGAAGATGACTTGCTGATGTTGATATGAGATTATACAAGCTTGGCATGAGAGCTTGGAGTGTGGGAGCTAAAGACCTACAAGTTTAGCAAATGAGAATGCATGTACTTGGCTTGATGTTGGATATGTTTGAGTTTGGTGTTGATAATTTGTTGTGTGTGGCTATGCCTATAGGGATTTAAGAGTTTCAAGATAAGGAGGATGCAAGGAAAAGCTTGAGGTTTGAAGTCTATGGTGTTTAAAGCTTGGAAGGAAGGGAAATCTTGGAGCTAGGTGATGCTTTATGGATTTAAGAGTTTCAAGATAAGGAGGACGGAAGGAAAAGCTTGAGGTTTGAAGGCTATGGTGTTTAAAACTTGGAAGGAAGGAAAATCTTGGAGCTAGGTGATGCTTTATGGGGGTTGGTGGCTGCTGGGATGCTTGCAGCAGCCGAGTGAAAGAGAGTTGGCTAAAGAAAAATTGGTCCCCTTTTGCTTGAATGCCAATTTATAGAGGGTGAGGGTTTTCCTTTATTTCCAATAGGTAAAGGGAGGTGCTGAAACCAGCCTATTTTCAGTGGTTAAAAGGGAGCATTGGGGCATACTATTTTCCAACATGTAAAGCTAGGTACCATAAACTGATTATTTCCTATGGGTACAAGGAAGCACTGGAAATTGCTTGTTTCCAGTGGGTAATACGAAGTGCTGGAAAACGCTTGTTTCCAATGGGTAAAGCTAGGTATTTTGGAAAATGACTATTTCCTATAGGTAAAAGGAAGTACTTGAAAAATATCTCATTTGCTCACCCACATTGGAGAACTCTAAATAATGGGCTGGGACTTTGGTGCTCCCAAGTAGCTAGCCCAAAGTCTCCATTATCCAAGAGCTTCCATGGGCCTTGTGGACCTCCGTAACCTTCCACACCACAATCCCTTGTGCAAGCCCCATAAACCACATGACTTGGGTTCATGTGAGCTTGATAGGTGATCGGCATGGGAAAAATATATTATTAGTTTGGCATGGCATGTACGCTATTTCTATATTTATTTAATGAATTAAATCTCAAAATACAGCTTGGATTAACGCATGACCGACATTATATGTTATATTGGGCTTTAAATGTCTTTGGGCTTCCTTTGACTTTTTTGGGCCTCAACAATTACTATTTTTAATAACTAATAAGAAAAAAAAAATCTGAAAATATAACACGTATAATTATAATATATATGGATCTACACATGTTATAAACTAAATATGTAACAAAATTTTTAATTTCTAAAAATATCATATATATATATTTAAAAATATGGGATTTCACACTTCCCCATCACAAAATAAATTTAAAAACAAAACAAAACAAAGCCACCTTTGCCGATAAGGGAACGGGGACTGCACCAAAATGGCCACAAAAGAGGAGATACACATCCTCCACACAAGTCAACACCGCTGCACATAGTGGTGGCCTTAAATTTTAGAGGCCTTAGGTGAACAACCTAAATGGGGCCTTCAACTTTATATGTATATATGTGATTTTTTTTTTTCGATATGTTAGAAAAAATATTATATGAATTCAAATTGTATCATAAAAGAAACAAACAAAATGCAATTTACACAACAACTTTATAAAATGCATCAAGATTCAAAACATCACTTATATATCACTCGCCTTGCATTTTTCAATGCAAAAGTATCAGTTAACTTAACATAATATTTATATAATATACTATATTTAAAATAGCATAGTATATATAGGGGTTTATACAAATTAGGGCCCTCCCAATTTGGGGGCCCTAGGCGGCTGCCTCCCTTGGCTGCACATAGAGACCTACAGATCATCTGCCAAG